CCCCCCCTCCCTCGCTCAGGCCTCTTCCAAGCCGGATGCCTTCGATGTAGGCGCCGGTGCCGATCCCTTGGGGCCGCAAGGCGGCGGACTCGCCCACAGCTCACCCAACCAATCGTCAGCAAGGACTCCTCGAGTGAGTCAGTCAGTCAGGCAGTCCGCAGGGCTGCGGTGCGAGCTCCAGCAGCGGCACACGCAAAGGAGAACGCACGTCAATGCGTCCTGGGCCTTGCTGGTGCCGCTGGGTTTGTCCTTGCCCTCCCGAGAGGTTGTCTGTGCAGGTGCTGGCGCCAGCGTTGGCTGAGACCTTGTGGCAGCTTGTGTGTCCAGCTGAGGGGCGCCCAAGGCACCCAGCGGTATGATGCCCTCTGGAACTTCATCCTCCAACTGCTGGGTAATCCTCTCGCCGACGACTGCAGCACCTTCACAGCCATCTCTTCGAACGGACGGCCGTGAAGGACGGGCTTGGTCGCCTGCCGACATCAGCTCCCTGATGGAGCACACAAGGGTGCATGAAGGGGTCCATTGTCAGTCGGTCTAGTTCCCTCCCTACCTGGAGGTCGCGGCCTGTGCTGTGCCATCGACTTGCGCAGCGCCGTCCTGATGCCTGACCAAGGGCACGCACAAACACGCCAACACACAAACACACCGCACGCCCTCACAAGACGAGATGAGCAGACAAGCTGCAACTGCAGGTGATCTTCATCCTTGCGCACCTTGGGGGGAGATCACCGTGCTTGCGCGCAACGTCCTCGAACATCAACAGCAAGGTGTCCTTGTCGTTAACTGTATAGTCGTCGTTAACGTACTTGGCGGGGGCACGATACTCATCCCGCGTCCACTTCTTCAAGCTGAAGTGAGCGAGAATTCCCCGCTTCTCCTCGTCGACTTCGGAATCCTTTTGAAGCCGAACGAGGACAGTCACCACGCTACCGAATTTTCGCTCCCCACTGCACCAGTGCCTCCCCAACAACCCAAGGTTGTCTAAAAGGTTCCCCAACCAGTCAACAAGCATTTTGGCTCCTCCTTCCCTCCCTACACGGGGGTCGCCGCCTGTGGACCGGTGGGCAGACCGACGTCCGGATGCCTGACCAAGGGCACGCACAAACACGCCAACACACAAACACACCGCACGCCCTCACAAGACGAGACGAGCAGACAAGCTGCAGCTGCAGGTGATCTTCTTCATCCTTGCGCACCTTGGGGGGAGATCACCGTGCTTGCGCGCAACGTCCTCGAACACCAACAGGAGGGTGTCCTTCTTGTTGACCGTGTAGTCTTCGTTGACGTACTGGGCGAGGGTACGATACTCCTCCCGCGTCAACTTGCCCGGGTCGAAGTTAGCGAGGATTCCCCGCTTCTGGTCGTCGACTTCCTTTTCGAGCTGAGCGAGGGCAGTCCCCACGATACAGAATTTTGGCTCCCTATAGCACCAGTGCCGGCCGAACAACCCAAGGTTGTCTAAAAGGTTCCCCAACCACTCGAGCATTTTGGCTCCTCCTTCCCTCGAGCATTTTTCACTGTGAGCTCGCGATGAAGATCCTGAGCTCGCACGCGAAGAAGGCAAAAAGGGGAGCAGCAGGACGCCATTGATATCGTGCCTTGGCCCATTGTCGTGAAATTCAGTCAAGAAATCGCACATTTTCGTTTTGTTGCTGGTGAGGATGGCGGCTGCATCAAGCACCAGCAAGAACGTGACGATTTCCATCGACCGTGAGGCGGCGGAGAAGATAGACACCGCCGCCCACATGCGGCTGCTGCAGACCAAGGCAAACGATATCGGAAAGAAACGTGAGCAACGCAGATGACAGAGCGGGGCGGCACAACGTGTGTTGTATGGTGTGTGTTGTGGTGTGGTGCGTGTCGGTGCAGGTGAGCCTGACCCCACTGTCCATGCGGACAAGTCGAGCAGGGTGTCGGTGCAGGAGACCGAGATAGAAACGACGGGTTCCACAAATGTGCCGGGCATTCTCACCTTCCAGGTACTGAATGCACGTACGGACGGACGGACGGACGTGTGTGCTCAAATGAGTCACTGTGTGTGCCTGTCTGTTCTCTTCGGTGTGATCTGGGTGCAGGTGGATCTGACTGGTTCGATAGAGGAGTGGCACATGGCGCTCGTCAAGGAGAGCGGCGAGAAGGTCGTCGTTTCTCGACAAAACACCACGGTAACTGCCCCCACACACAAATAACATATGGCCACTCGCCGCAGGGCACTCCTCCTTCTCTGCCTGCCTGCCTGCCTGCCTGCTGTTTTCAGGTCAAGTATGCCGAGGGCGTCTTAACACTTGAGGACGCCACCATCGAGCCGGGGACGTACGTGCTGCGCATCCAGCAGGAGACCTTCGGGGCGCCGAGTGACATGATGGCCGACGCGCCGTCCCCCTCGCCCGCCCGATCGCCCGTTGACGTGCCCATGACGTAGAAGAGGGAGAGTAGCGGGAGCTGGTGTGGTGTCAAGACAGACAGACCGACAGACTTCCTTCCTGCCTGAGTGTACGCCTTGTTGTTTTTCATGGGCGTCTGTGTACAGACTGGTCTGGTATCGGGGCTCAGAGAGAGAACGGGGTGGCGTGAGGTGAGATTTGTGTGGATGGGTCAATCGATCGGTAGATCAGCCAAGATTGGGTTGAGCTGATGTGCTGTGTTGTTGGCGGGGATGATGGGACGGATGGATGCGTTTAAGATAGCGCCATGCTATGTGATGGGCTGGTCGTGTCGAGGGGCCATCGTCGGGCAATTGTAGCATCCGCATCGACAACTCAGTCGTTCATGCGCGAAAAGCTTGGCGAGGCTGTGGGTGGGCGATGCGGTCACTGCGATCGCACGACGCGACAATCCAGCCTGTGTTGTGTGCGGACAAACATTCCATGATGAAATGCCAGTGTGTCACGGGTGTCGTCGCTATGGAGGCACAGGACATTGTGCGCATCTGTTCCTAACTGTGCGCCGTTCGATTGTGTCCGCTGACTTGCTGCCGTCCAGACGGATGTTATGAGAATCCTTCCATCAATCCGGCCACGGACGCAACAAGAGAAACAATCGCAGGTTGATGGTAGACCTCTCCCTCCTACATCGCTGCCACACTGGCACATCGGCTGTGTTTGATCTGACGGTCTATGCCTAGCAATGGCCGGCAGAATAGGTCAGCCGACACACTAACCACCACGGCTGCCCATTTCCTTTCGGCGAGAAAAATTGGAGACCTTACTGGCCGGCGAGAATTTTGGACAGCAACGTCTCTTTGGACACACATATCATTTCGGCGTTCGGTATCTGTTCGTCGTTCCCTGTTGTGTTCTCTCCTCTCCGTAATCATCTCGTCGCACCAGTTCCACGCCATCAAGGCACCTGGCGGTGGGTGCCCCGATGAGACCGTCCTACTCCGGCCCCCCTCATGGGATGTGTGTCCTTGCTCCTGTCTGTAAGTTGAATCAATCAGCAGCGAGATGGCACTCCCGCCAACCGACCGAGGGCGGAGCGGAGTCGTGGACATCGCTTTTCCCCTCTGCCCGCACGGAGACGCTTATACATGGGCTTCCTCAATGAGGCGGTCATCGAAGGTATGTCAGTGTGCCACCAGAGAGCCACCGTCAGTCCACCGAGCACTTGATGGTCTCTGTGTTGGTGTGTGTACCAGGGACGTGGGATAGCGGTCGCGTCCGTGAGGGGCTCACACTGCCGCAGGCGTGTGGGCTCTTTCACGATGCGTTGGAGGGGCTAGGGAAGTTTCATGAGTGGGGCATCTCCATTAATGACATCAAGTCAAATGTAAGCCAAGACAAGCACACAACCAGAAAGAGAATGATACAAGGGCCACGCCAACGACACAATCAACTCGTCTGTGTGTATGGTGTGTATGGGTATGTGCAGCCCGACAACGCGGGCAGCTACCGAGGGCATGGCGTGTGGTTCGACTACGACACTGCCGTGAGACAGACGCACACCCAGACAGACACCACGTATCACAGTGTTGTTTACGTCTTGCGTGTATTCCATTGCAAAGAGACGGCGTCTGGTATCCGTGTGCGCGTGTGTGTGGCGTGCAGGGGCGGGAGGGAGTTTGGCTCGAGGGGGGTTTTGTGGGTGCGTTGCCGGGAGGAAGACCACTCCACCACTCCGGGTATGCACCCATCCAACCCCCGACTACGGCACTCGACCTATCGCTGCGTGTCTGTCTGTCTGTCTTTGTTGGTGTACCTGCAGGCGGCTGGCACTGGCGTTGCCCCACGCCACCTGTCCAGTGCGGCCCGCGAGAACCGCTTGAATGAATGGGGTTCGTGCGGGTGGGGAGGGAGGGAGCCGGGGAGAGGGAGAGGGAGGTCACACGCGTGGAGCTACCCCGAGAGGTGATACAACGCACAACACGACTCACCAATGGGGATGATATGTGTCATGTCCGTCATCTTGGCGGTGCCTGTTGGTGTGTGGGTGTCAGGGCTCGGCGACCGTGCAGGGCCCGACGCCCGCCGCTCCCCGCGCCACCGGTAGGTGCTGACACGACATCAATCAACTCATCTCCCCCTCACTCACTGGTTTGGATGACCTGTGTGGCCCTCAGGAGCGCCAGTCTTCGAGGCCCCTCTACGACCGGCGGACGACGACGAGTTGCCCGACGAGGCCCAGCTGCCCGCACCGCAGTGGCGTGTGCCCGGGGCTGTGCGGCTGGACGCCATCAAGCCGGAGCAATACGTCCAGGTAGGATGGATGAATGGATGGGTGACATCACACCAGCAGATGGACAAATGGATGTGTTTCCCGTGTTGGTGTGTGTGGTCAGTTGCAGAGGCTGCTGGAGTTCCTCGACGGCGACGTCGTGGTACGCACACAAACACCACACGCACACAGAGAGGGAGAGATCAGATGCACACACGCTTTTCTGTGGTGTGATGTTGATTCAGGGGGAGCTGTTGCGGTACGGCCTTCGGGTGCGTACGGACAGCGTGGGCCACCCCAGGATCGTCGGCAATGGCGGCAACGGCACGGTCGTGCACTTGGACTATATCGACGCTGGCCAGGTGCCTAAGGACGCCCCGCAGCTGTCCATCAAGCTCATCAGACAGGCTGATGAGGACAACTGGGTACACACAACACACGTCCATCCATTCGTGTATGTCTTGTATGTGTGTGGGTGTGTGGGTGTGTGTGCAGGTCAAGGAGGGCTTTCTTTTTGGTGGAGGAGGCCGTGGCCAGGCCAGCAGTACAGCCAAAGAGGACGGACAAGGACACCCCAGGCAAGTGGCATGGAGTCAGGTAGGAGAGTGATGTGTCAGAAGTCTGTTTATGTCACCCCCTTTGTGTGTCGTCTCAGGTGATCTCATATCGCCGCCTACGTTTTATATTCGTCCGGATTTTCGACGTCCAGACAGACACGCGTGGGGTTAACGATATCTGTTTCCCTTCCTGCTGTTGCTCCCCTGTCATCGTGACTCGTTCTGATCCATCTATCCATGTGAGCAGCTCACAAACACGGGCAGGTGTGAGTCACCAGTTTGGTCATCTGTCTGATATCGCCTTCGTTGCAGGCCCATTGCATGTGATCAAGACGATGAATATCGCAGCGGCGGCGGGCAACACACCGGTGCCCTTCACTGGCGGTAAGTCAGTCACTTGACACCACTTGAATCTCCACTTCTTCGTGTCTGTGTGTGTGGTGTGTTTGCATGCCTATCCTTCGAACATTCAGCCGTCAGCTTCCCCGACTCGATCAACACGAGGACGCAGACCATGATGCTTCTGTGTCTGTGGCGCAGCATGACGGCCGAGAGGATGCTGGGGCTCATCAGGAGGGGGGCCGACGCCACAGCCATCGTCGTCATCCCACGCCTTACCAGCCGCCAAACATGCGGCATGCAGCTGCCGGCGCAGGAGCACCACTTTAGCCTTATCGAGACCGTGTGCGGCGAGCTATTAGTGACCGTCGACAGGGTATGCACACCTTCGGAAGCACACATACACACCTTACTTGAGAGGGTCACTCTCTGCTGCTGGAATGTGTGCAGCAGCGGCTGAGAGGGACAACAAGAAGCCCTCACAGCCCTCAGACGACACGCAATTGGCAGCCGGCCAAGGACAACACCAAGAGGGCATCGATCTGGACGACTCCCCGGGCAGATTAACTGAACGGCCGTCATAGTGGGACGTGAAGTGAGCATTAAGGGAGTGATGTGTCAGCCATCTGTTATGTCATCTTTCTTGTGTATTTTCTCAGGATTTCTGGTATCGCCGCCTACATTTTATATTCGTCGGGCACTTTCATCATCGGACGTCCCCTGCCTGTCGCCGCCTGCGATGGAGCCGCCGATATCCGGGCGAAACTCTTCCAGACTTCGGTGCGTAAGCAAGTGTGACGCCATCGCGATGGACACATGTGCAAAAGGATTTTGTCATGTCTCGCGTCCCTGCACCTCAGGACAAGCAATAATGAGAAAAGAACAACGCCCCTGGAGCAGCGCCTCACGGTGAGCCCTCATCAGTGCTGATTCTAGTGACCACTGTCTTGTTTCCCCTCTGCAGAAGCTGCCTTTCTCACCGAATGTCGCAGACTGTTTTCGCATGCTCTCCTTGCAGATCCGTTGGAAGCTTAAGCTTAACACAGGAGACGTCCACCAAACGCTGCCCCGCTCTGTCATTGGTCTCATTTGTCTCTGTCTGGTAGTTCAGGTCGATTGTGAGCTGTGGGCCCTCTACTCTCGCGAGAGTCGACAGCTGGGGGCGGGCCCCTCACACAGAGACAGAGCAACTTTTTCATCACCAACTTCTTCGCTCTTGTGCTGTATTCGGCCAGGTAAGGTAATCGGTGGGTGCGTAGAGACGCATGAAAAACAACGCACAGGTGCTCCTCTTCTGACATGCTGTGATCAAGGTCGTGGAAGGTCCTAGAAGCGATCAACGATGCGGACTCTCACACATACCGGCCGGCGAAGTGGCGATTTCAAATTGTGGGCAGCTTACCAAACCTGACGCCAGGTTGTGGCGGGATAGAGCTAGAGAGACTGAGATACTTCGCCTCGAGGAGGAGGTTCGCAGACTCACTCGCGAGTACGTGACGCAAGCAGGGAGGGAGAGGGGATGGGTGGGGGTGAGTGCAGTGCAGATCAGGCAAACAGACCTCTTGTGACGCAGATGTGTGTGATTGTGTCTTTGTGTGTGTGCGTTGGTATCAGGGTGGGGCTGCTGCGGACCCAGAACAACCACCTGCTCAGTCGTGACCCAAATACCGGAGTCGATGCCGCAAAGGTGGATAAGGACACAGACAGACAAGCTCCAGTGTCCACTCTGTCTCTCCCTCTCAGTTTGAGTCCTCGTTCGTGAGCCCCATGCTGCGCGAGCTGGACGGAAAAGACGCCGCGGCAACAGAAGTGTACGTAAGGGAAAGCGCAGTGGAGGACAGAATGTCAAAGTGCCCGTTTCCCTTGCCTCAGGATTGAGCAGATACGTGACAAGCATAACTCGGCGATCCTTCCTCCATATGTTGACCTAGATGCTGACGATTCTGACAAGGTACTTCGCCACGCACGCCCACCTACCGACCCACCGACGCATCCATCCCACGCTCTCTCTTCCAATCTGTGTGCAGGAGGGCGTAGCGAAGGGCAAGGGCAAGGCGATGATGTCCCGCTGCATGCCGTAAGAAAGGGGAGACGGGGGAGGGGACGAGAGCAGCCAAGCCGCACCTGCCCTCTGTTTTCAGGCGTTTCAAGATGACGCTGTCCAAACTGAAGGCTCGCACTCAGCCCAAGGACAGAGGTACGCATGGGCCGATACACAGAGCGCCACACGGACACACACATCTCCATCCTTCTGGCTGTTTACACAGCTGGAGGGCCACTGGGATGGTTCCGCCATGGCAAGTCCACCACCAACACCTTCAACGACGCCCCGCCCAAGGGCATGGTGGCACAGCAGGAGGACGAGACCATCATCGACACACCGATCATCGCCGGCGGCACGGACCTCATCGGCACGGTGCAACAGGAGGACCCGGACACACCGCTCATCGAGACGGTCCGCGCCGCGCCCACCATGATAGATGCCAAGCTGGCCCTCCCTGGCGGCAGCGCTGACCGTCACTACTTCAGCAGGTGACTGACGTGCACACCACACACACACGTCACATGTGCGGTCGCTAAACGTGTGTGGCTATACGTGTGGATGGATGTGTGTGCAGACACGTGCTCCGCGCTGCGACCGAGGACGAGAAAGAGGCGGCGGAGCACGTGCACGATGCCATGAAGGCGCTGCACTACCGGGGGGAGGAGGACGACGGCTGCCACACGTAGATAGACAAAGACACACATACAAACAAACCACATCACCCCATCACATCACATGGCGGGAGAGAGGGGGTAGCCTAAGATACACACATGCATGCGTGCCTTCATCAATGTGTGGCGGGCGGGCGTCGCCAAATGGGGTCAAGAAGGCATATCACAACGGCGCCCTGGTACGCACTCCAAACCGATACGAACGATTGGACGCATCTTGGCGGACGCGTGTGTGTGTGTGCAGAAAACCCACACGGACAAGGGGGGTGGCAAGGAGAACTTCCAGGCCTTGAACGAGGCCTACACCGTCATCAAGAAGGACCTCGAGCAACTGAGGGATGGCGACCCGTCTGACCCGGTACACCAAGAGCACAGCACCATCACGCTGCCGCATGTACGTGTGTGCGTTCGTTCGGTCGGTCAGATTATCAAGTGGCGCCGCGAGAGGAGGGAGAGGTACCAGCAGGTGACCCCGCCACATACCCACACCCACACGCATTCACACGCCTTCACACTAACTCAGCGGAAGGCGGCCGCCGCGGAGAGGGAGAAGGAGCTCAAGCGCATCGGACAGGAGCTCGAGGAGTTGCAACACCGTCGTCTGCTAAGGCGGCAGCACATCCAGACCATGCTCAGCGAGACAAACAACTCTGACAGCGCCACCACAGACGCCGTCCACCCGCCACACCCAGCACTCGCCCGACAGCGATCAGGACGAGACTGACGAGACTGACGAGACGACCATCCGGCTGCCGGTGGGAGTCGAGGGCGCGCTGCACCTGGTGGCCGACCAGGGCGAGGCGGCTCAGGGGATGTGGGAGGGGAGGGAGGGAGGTCAAGATAGAGGGGGATGGGAAAGGGAGAAAAGGGTGCTGGGGCTGGTTCGCGCTGCCCAACCCCTTTGCATGGTGCATGTCCGGCTGCCTCGTGTAATGCATCACACAATCCACCCACACACAACCAGCAGCGACACATGTAGCCAGCTAGCGAGGGAGTCGCGAGAGATTCCTTAGTTTTGGATGGATGGATGGGAGGACGGCAGGCAGGGAGGGAGGGAGGGAGAGAGGGGTGTGTGCGTTTGGGTTGGGTGATGTGTGGTCTGCGGCATGGGAGGGGAGAGAGCCTCGGTGATTTTTCAAGTGTGTGTGGTCTGCCGAAGTTTTTGTTAGTGAGAGAGCGAAGCTCGTGTTTGTGTGTCGCCCAATCAGCGGGGTTGTGGTGTCACAATGGGGGGGTGAGCACAACGAGAGAGAGCGGCTGGCCGTATGTGCACGGGTACAGTGTGATAGAGCTAGAGAGGGCGGCAGTCAGCCCAAGTAAAGGCGACATGGTTGTGTGTGTGGATGGGGGCAGAAAGGAAAAAATGCCCATCAGAAGGCACAGCAAAAGAAAGAGAAGAGGGCCCACCAGAAGGCCACAGAGACAGACGAGGAAGGTCATGGACATGGTGTCTGAGGGAGGGGTGAATGGGAGGGCGGTGTGTGTGGCGGCAGAGAGGCGTTTCGTTTGCCTACATTTTATATTCGGATGGCGGTTTAGTAGCACTTGATGAATGAATCATCTGGACAGAGGAGACGAAATGAGTGGTGTGGGTGTGGGCAGAGAGGAAAACAAATGCCCTCAGAAGGCACAGCAAAAGAGAAGAGGGCCCACCAGAAGGCCACAGAGAGAGGAGGAAGGTCATGGACATAGCTAGGAGGTCAGCACAGCACAGCTCAGCTCGGATGTCTTCGCGTCTCCCATGTGCGCATCCTCTCTCTCTCTCTCTCTGTGTGTGTGTGTGTGTGTGTGTGTGTTTTGCTATGGTTTGTGTGCAGCCTGGTGGTGGAAAGGCCGATGCACGCACAGAAAGACATTCGCCAGCGACTGAGTAAGCGCCTGTGACCGGCTTCGTGGAAAGTCAGTGGGCTACCGCACGCACACTAGACACACTATCGTGCACACATCGTGTGTTGGCTGGTGTTGGTGTTGATGTGCAGGCTCAGGGCGTGGCTCTGCCCCAGGCGAAAATGTTTTTCCACGATGCATTGGAGGGGCTGGGGAAGTTTCTGAGTGGGGCGGCATCAGCATCAACGGCATCAAGCCCACAGTGAGTATAACCACACGCACACAGAGAGAGACATTTACAGAGAGAGACAGAGCAACAGTGGGTGCCCACGCCTCTGCTCCATTCGCATGTGTGTGCAGCGGACAACACGGGCAAGTGGTTCGATTTCGACGCAGCCGTGAGTGAGCCGACAAACGTCACACACATCGCCAGCCACACATTTGCGTGTGGATGTTGAATGGACGCATGGATGGATGTGCGTGTAGGTCAAAGCCGCCGCCACATCATGGAGGGCTCCGCGCAGCAGACAGACCCATTCAGGAGCCAGGAGGACGAAATGATGGTGCTTGGTGAGTGGACTGAATGGTGGCGACACGCATACGCAGCACACACGCACCAGTAATGTGTGGTCTTCGCTCAGGGTATGCGATGATGCCAATCATCAGACGGCTCTTCCAGAAGGACAAGACCGACCCACCGCCCGACCATACCGCAGCCCGGCAGCACAGGCGGCACTGGACGTCTACTCGAGGGTCGTGGGCACCGACAGAGGCGCGCAGCCCTTGACGCATCGGCAGATGCTGGCTGTGCTCCTCGGGCAGTGGAAGGAGGGGCACCCACACCCAGCGCATCACGACGAACACGTCCGGTGCTGGCCCGGGGTCGCCCGCCGTTGGTGGGGAGGAGACATGTAAGTATGTGGTGTCTCGCCCGTCTTTTGTTGGTGCCATTCTATCGGTGTCTCTCTGCTCCTTTTCAGATCGCCGCCTACATTTCATATTCGTCGGGCTTTCTCTCTTGTCAGCGTGACGCTCTCTCCCACAGCACTGCTCGACACCGATCGCAAGACGATACGCCCGAGACACCAATGCTTCGTACTCGCGAGCGAGGGAGAGTGTGCGAGATGTTGGCATTCCTGCACACCGCAGCAGTTGCTGCCCTGTCGGGAGAAAGAGCCAGCATGCCCATCACGCGTGCCGACGGCCGCACGGGATTCGTCGGTTCCGAATACGTGGGCTTCTACGAGAAGTTGCAGGTGCATCCGTGCGCCCCGCTGAATGAGGTCAAGAAATCCTATCACAAAGGCGCCCTGGTACGCACTGCAAACCGATACGAATGATTGGACGCATCTTGGCGGACGGATGTGTGTGTGTCTGCAGAAAAGCCACACAGACAAGGGGGGTCGCAAGGAGGACTTCCAGGCCTTGGTTGAGGCCTACACGGCCATCAAGAAGGACCTCGAGCGACTGGAGAATGGCGACCCGTCTGACCCGGTACACCAAGAGCACAGCACCACCCCGCTGCATTCATCAATCCTCGCATGTACGTGTGTGCGTTCGTTCGGTCGCTCAGATTGTCAAGGAGCCCTAGAGATGCAGGAGAGATACCGGCAGGTGACCCCCGCACAGACCCACCGATAACACGCATCCCAACACCACACACAACACATGGCTACTTCTGACCTGTCTGTCACTCAGATGCAGGAGGAAGAGAAGAAGAGGGATAAGCTGCCCACCCTGATCGAGGAGAGGGATAAGCTGCGCAACCAGATCCTGGAGCGCCGCCGCTTGCTCGAGGAGCACACACTGCAGCGGCGGTGCGAGCAGATCAACACCACAAACCCATGACCGGTACCTTGAGACGCCGTTCGGTTTTCATACAGCAGGTCCGTCATGGTGTGTGTGTTGCAGGACCAGCCAGCATTTGGGCACTCGCCGTGGGCAAGTAGCTGCTGCCCTGGGCAAGCGCATGGACACTGGGGCGACGCGTGCACGTTACCTGAGGTTTGCCCTATATCACCTCGTCTCGAAGCGCTGCGAGATGGAGGTGTGATATCTGGGAGCGCGTGTGGCGTAGGTGGTGGCCTTGGTGAGGATTCAGAGTGCTCTGGACCTTGACCTGCCAGTCACCCGGCTGCTGGATCTCGGTAAGTGCACATACCTGGGTTGGAGGGCCGGCACAAGTGCTTCGTGTGTGTCTGGAACAGGTGATCCAGGTGCGATGGAAGGAGTACAGTACGGCCTTCTTCAGGAAGTCCTCTCCACGGCGGAGAGCGCCCGGAAGGGCATTTCGGTCCACACGTCCGTGCCGGGTGTGCGGATCCGACGCATCGCTCCGCAGCGCCCAGCGTGACGCCTCTCCCGCGTCATCACCGTCCACCCGGCACACCGACCACCCGTCCTCAGCCGACAGCGACGGAGACGATACCGACGAGTCCATCCGGCTGCCGGTGGGCGTCGACGGCGCGGTGCACCTGGTGGCCGACCAGGGCGAGGCGGCTCAGGGGATGTGTGAGGGGAGGGAGAGGGAGGTCAAGATAGAGGGGGATGGGGAAGGGAGAAAAGGGTGCTGGGGCTGGTTCGCGCTGCCCAACCCCTTTGCATGGTGCATGTCCGGCTGCCTCGTGTAATGCATCACACAATCCACCCACACACAACCAGCAGCGACACATGTAGGCAGCTAGCGAGGGAGTGAGCAGATGTCTTAGTTTTGGATGGATGGGGAGATGGATGGATGGATGGATGGATGGGAGGGAGGGAGGGAGGGAGGGAGGGGTGTGTGCGTTTGGGTTGGGTGATGTGTGGTCTGCGTGCATGGGACGGGAGAGCGCCTCGGTGTTTTTTCAAGTGTGTGTGGCCTGGCTGCCCTGTTGCCATTTGCCCGATGCATTTGTGGGCTGTGCTGCCCTTCTCGCCCAGCTGGGGCCATCTTTCATGTGAGAGAGCTGCATTCATTGCATTATGTTCATGTGGCCTCGTGTCTCGTCTGACCCGGTACACACACGCCACCCCGTGATAGCATCACCCCGCTGCATTGACGTGTGTGTGTGCTTTCATTTGTTCGTTCAGAGTATCGAGTGGCGCTGAGAGAGGCGGCACAAGTACCAGCAGGTGAGCCATTATAGAACGCCGATGCCATCCATACCATATGGCTGCCACTGAGATGCAGGATGAAGACTTAATTGATGGCGCAGGTGGTCAACAAAAACGGCCGACGCGTCGTCCGGCACGTCGCCCCCCGCCCGATGTACATGTCCTTTCTTCATGTCATCCTACCTGTGTCTCCTGTCATGTTATGTTTCATCAGATCGCCGCCTACATTTTATATTCGTCGGGATTTTCTTTATGCGTGACGCTCTCTCCCTCCCTCAGCCGACCACAAGACGCACACATACATATCTCATCCCAACCGCAGCCCCACATGCGGTGAGTGAGTCAGCAATAGCGTCATTCCGCTGCATTCACTCACGTGTGGGTGCATGGGCGTTCGTTTGTTTCGTCAGATGCTAAGGAGCGCCGAGAGAGGTGGGACAAGTACCAAATGCATCAAAAGCTATGATGTCTCAGCTTGGAAGCAGAAAAGAGACATCACAAGGTGGGTCAAGAGGTGTAGCCAATCCGACACCCAGCCACGACAGCAAAGCAACAGCCAAACAGCCACCGACTCGAAAAGGTAGGTTACGAAATATACCATGGTGTCTCTGATCCTCTTTTGCCCTCGCCTCAGTAGACAGGCGAAGAGACACGACACACATGGCGCAGACAGGCGTCGGCAAGACTGACAGGGGCAGCGCAAGCAGCATGATCCAAGGTGGCCAACGATACAAACAAATACCAAGACACTCTGGTCTTCCTCATCATACCTGTGGACATGCAGCACCAAAAGCTATGATCCATGGACACAAACCGACAAGTGCCCGCCCACCAAAGGAGAGGTACAAGAGACATTCCTCTTCAGCTGTTCCTTAAACCTGCTGTTTGCAGACTTGAAGGAGGAAGATATGGTGGTGCGCATTCACAATGTGCACATGGATGTAAATCTCTTCGGTATGTCGACTGGGGTGAAAGACCATTCGCGGTTGAGGTGGTTGGTGATCGAATGCTTCCCCTGCAAGTGGCTGCGAGTTTCGGTTTTCCATCCACATCGACATCTTAGGGGCTTCAAGATGTAGACGTCTTACTATAAGTGTTTTCGGGGTTTTCAGAGAGGCACAAGCAACATACCTCTTCAGCTGCTCTGTGCAGACTCGGCCCGCCTCTTGACCAGATGCTGAGAGTGGAGAACAAGACTCGGGATTCGAAACCCCAAAGTGAGACACACAATACACAGACGCGCACACACGGCAGAATTCTCTCTCCCGTATGTGTGCATCCAGAACGCACATTTTTTGGTGTACGGCATGCTGCTCGAGTGAGTGTGAGCACTTGCCATTTGAGGAGGTCATTGAATGGATGTAGGCTATGTCTCAACTCGAAACACTTGTCGTGTCAGGTTGGGCCATTCGCACCCTCATCAAGCCCCTCACCGAGACGCACAAGGGCGGCCAGCATGTCCGGGGCGTGCCAAAGTCGCCTACGTCAAGGTGGTGGCGCCCCTCGTTGGGCAGGAGCTAAAACTCAAGGACAAGAACGGCAACCCGGTGCCCCAGCTCACGCACCAGCAGATGGTCAAGTACCTCAAGAAGAGCCGGGTTGCCGTGCCGCCCACCACACCCGTTGCCCAGTGAGGTGGCAGGGGCACCCACCACTGGAGACGGACAAGGCGGTCGAGCCGCATGGCTGCGAGGGGGGAGGGAACGAGTGTACATGGGGCCATGGATGGGTGGGTGGATGGATGGATAGATGCCATGGGGCAACGTGTTCGTTGGTGTGGCCATGGAAGAAGAGAGCGCCTCGGTGTTTTTTCGAGTGTGTGTGGTCTGGCTGCCCTGTTGCCATTTGCCTGGCTGCGCTTGATTAAGTCAGTGCACATGAGAGCGTAGAGAGGGAAAGGCGGTGCGTACATGCATCCGTACGCATCGGCAACCACGTGAGTGGGAGAGAGAGAGAGGGGGGGCTTTGAGGGGTCACTGCTGTTTCTACTTCCTCAGATCGCTGCCTGCATTTTATATTCGTTGGCAGTTTTGTTAATGAATCCGCAGTGAGGGAGTGCGCGAGACACGCAGACCAACCATTGTCTGTCTCTTCACCGACAAACAGACAAACAGACAGACAGACAGACATGCAGGAAGACAATCAGATAAGGGTGTATTCATGTCACAGTTGCCTCCTAACTTTTTGCACCACCAGGAGACCCCCTCTAGGCCCCTCACGCCAAATCAAGAGACAGCGAAAGGCTCTGCCTCCACAGCGACACACCCATTTGAGGAAGAGACCACAGTGACTGCGCGCAGAGAGAAAGGAAATGTCACCACATAGATCCAGCTCACCTGACATTGCTCACCTTCACACACCCGATCGCGAGCTTGAGCCCGCAAGAGAAGGCTTTTCCTTCTCCAAGGCCGTCAGGCAACCAAGAGTGATCTGCGGAGCCTTATCAGACCCAGCCCCAAGCACACACCAGCCTCTCATGGGCTGCGCGTCGTCCAAGGAGGCCAAAGCCAAGAGGGGCACTGCGGCCGCCAAAGATGACGCATGGGCCTCCCCTGCCAAGATAGAGAAGGACAAGGACGGCAAGAAGGCACAGACCACGAAAATCGAGGTGGTCAAGGACAACATTGTGGATGAAAAGGCGAGGCCACCAAAGGACAAGAAGAAAGACAAGGGAAAGGCTGCCGTATCGGTGAAGGAGATCAGGGCGGTGCCGGCGAAGAATGTGAGAAGCCCTTAGTGATAGATGGATGCATTTGAAGCGGCGGAAGGAGGAAAGCCCCAAATGACTTCTTTGTCTTCTTGATGCAGGTTGAGCCGACTGCCGATTCGCCCGTTCCCGTGACTACTTCTCACCCTAGCCCCAGCCCCTCCCCCACCCTCGCCCCCATCGTTCACCAGTCTCATGAGAGGAGGGACCAGCCGTCGGTGGCCAGGGACACCTTCTCGCCTCCTGTCTCCCCACATGAGTGGGACAGGGGATCGCCTGAAGTGCCCGAAAACCTATCGCAAGCGCAGAGACAGCAGGTGAGCGCAGGGCAGGCAAGACTCGCTCCATTCCATCTGGCTCACGTGGTTTGGCGTGATCGTCTCTGCAGGCAGAATTGATGGCTGAGAAGCGTCAGAGATTCGACCCATCCAAGTATCGCTCTGCGGGCTATGTCTCAGGCGCCAGCGATCAGTTGCAGGCGGCAGACATGTCCTCCCCTCCCCCAACCAATGACCTGCCGGCCGCCCTGCCCCCTCCTCCAGAGACATTTGACCGACAGGGATATCACTGGCTCCAGCAGCAGCAGCAGCAGCAGATCGAAGAAATGGGTGGCGTGCCTCCGAGGATGGACGATATGCAGATGGAGGATGTGGAAGACGATTTCGATGCGATGATCCAGCAGCTCCCGCCGCCGCCCAAGAATTTGGGGCTCATGCACAGACCCGCAGGTATGCAATCGACACGCACAGACAGGCAGAGAGAGGGAGACACACGGGTCGGAGACCTGGCATGTCTCTGTGTCTCGGCCGTGTGTTAATGTGCAGCAGTGCCCACCCAGGGGTCCTACGAGGTGGGCCGGCTATCACAGCACAGCAGATGATCCATTCTTGCCTGTCTCCACCTCTTGCGCTCACTCGCCTTTGCCGTGTTGCTCTTCGTTTATGTGCAGTATCGCTCGTCCCCTCCCCCGGTGGTGCACCACAACCATGAGATGCCTAGCCTGCCTGGTGTGATGCCGGACGATGCTTTGCCACTCGATGTGTCACATGAAGTCAAGTCAAGGTCAGCAACAGACGGAGGAAGGGAGAGGGAGGGAATGTGGACGCATCGGTTGTTCTTTCTGTGGTCGTACAGAAATCGCCATTTCGACGAGGCTGATGAAATGATGATGGACGACATATTGCAAGAGATAGAGTCCACCTAGGTGCTACTACTGAACAACACCGCCGGGTGTTGTCGTGTTGGTGTCAGTTGTTGGTGTGAGTACTTGATGACACAGTGACTTTCTCCAGACAATGTATTACAATCTGTGTTTTCTGGAACAAAGGCGTCCACCACCCACACGCACACCGAGAAACGCACTCACTCACTCACCCATGCACGGACGATCCATCGCCCGCCTCAGTCCGAATTCCTTCCAAGACACCAGCCACCGACCGCATATGCACATATGCATGTGACCTAAGTAACCCACCGCCCACTCAACCACAGCCGTCCGTCACTCACTTTTTCCTGTTGCCACGCTGCTCCTTGCCCTTCGGTGTCGACGCAGGCTGGTTAGTGGTGCTGCTGCTGTTTGATGGCTCGTTGGGCGGCGTCTGGCCATCCCCCGCCTTGAACTGCCAGAGGTTGACTTTGCCGTCGAATGCCTCTTCAAGGGTGAGGAGAGAGGACTTGATGGTAGCGATGTCGGTCTCGATCTTGAGGATGGAGGTGTGCAGCAGCGCCTCCTGCTCGCACTTCTCGCGCTTCAACTCCTGCACGGATCCATGGATGCACCCCATGGGAGGGCGAATTTGTGTTTCCTATTTTCTCCTTGGTGCTTTGCTGACCTCAATGTACAGATACTGATTCTTGACCACACCGGCCTGCTCGTCCAGACGCTTCTGAAAAAGAAGAGGCATGAGGAGGGAGAGACATTGCATGCATTGGCGCCCCTTGCGTGCGTTTTATTTTATGTCTTCATGCCCACCGTGAGTGCTTTGAGGAGCTGCGTGTGGTCCTCCAGTGCTGCCTGCACCCAGCCAGTGGTGCACCCACCCATGCTGCTGGATGAAAGGGACGGCTCAGGGGGCCCCATCTGACACACACACACACACACACACACACAGAAGGATGCATCCATTGCTGCTCGCACTGCTATACATGTGCATGTGTGTCTCTGTGTGTGTATGGTCGCACGTCGTGTCCCTGCCCTCCTCCTCCGCTCGTGTACTGCCGCTGCTGCTGTTGTAGTGAGCCACTACCCGAGCAGTAGCCACTATGGCCAGACACCACACCCATCGGCCCCATTCCCATGTGTGACGAGGTGGATGATGGCATGGCGATGTCGAGCGAGGGCAGTGGGGGCAGTGGCGGCTGCTGTGGTGCCTGGGAGGCATTGAGAGAGGGCAGGGTCTCGTGGCGCGTTGGCGAGGGGGACAAGTCAACCAGCACCACGGGCGCTGAATGAAAACGAACCAAGGAGAGAGCACGAGTGTATGAATGCATTTCTGGTGGTTGGCGTGTGCATGTGGTACGTGTGGGTTACGTTGGTTGAGATTCCTCGCGAACCACTCCCACACAGTGTACCCGTCAGCGATGGCAGGCAAATGGCGAACAGTCAGCTGCAAATCGACCACAAGACACAGAAGGACTCATCAATAAATCCTCAGTTGGCCAGACATCCACCGTTTTGTGAACGACTTACCGTCCGATAAGGGGGTCTCGATCCGTCCTCACCAGCCCACTGACCAGAAATCGATGGATGGATGGATGTGTGGATGAATGCCTCCGTGGCCGTCGGTCATGAATTGCGTACGTTTTGGCTGATGGGTCGTATGTCTTTGAGTATGAGATCAACGAACCGCTTGACGCCCTCAGCGGCGCTCTCATTGGCGTCCAAGGAACACTTCCACTGACGACCCTCAGGCACTGGAAGAAACCAACACATAAGCGCACATATACACGAGAGCCATGTGTGCATGTGTTGGCAATCATGTGCTTTCAAATACCATAGAAAATGCTGCACTCGATCTGGGGCGCTGCAACAAAGAGACAGGAAAGCAGGTATGCATCCAAAGCAGCGGATGGTCTTTTGTCGACTTACAAGTGGGGTACACAGATCCATATCTGCTATGGGTCAGCCGCGACGACCCCAGCCCCGCATAGCGATTGCCCAGCGCCCCACCAGCAGTGGTGGACGAGGCGTAGCTGCCGACGCTGCCCTGATACATAGACGCGACCGACATGCTGGCCGTCATCGACCCCGACGACCCGCCATACGTCGACGCCGACCCCCCCTTGCCCTTGGTCGACAGCGATAGCGACGATGAGGCCAGAGACATCCCATCACCCCCTCCCCCCTTTTTGCCTCCTGCTTTCTTGCCTCCCCCTGGCTGGCCGGTCCCTCCCGGAGACACCGAGCTGCACGTTGACAGGCTGTCAGACGGCAGGGGTGACTGAGACACCGACATGCCGCTGCTCAGGCATGCAGCTTCGCTGGGGGTGAAGGCTGTCTCGCTCATCTCACTACTCGCCATGCCGGCCGCGTCAGCCTTCTGCCGGTTCTTGCGATGGCGGTTGCCTTTCGGCGGCTTGCCGATGGGTCTGGGTGGAGGTTGGGGCTGAGGGGGGGCGGGATGGGTAGGGGGATAGTTGGCGACGTTCTTGGTGGTGTCATCTGCGTTGAGAGGGGTGGATGGCGGCGTGTCGACGTTGGTGACGGTGGCCGTGGTCGGACTGCCACCCTCCAGGGAGGGCGAGGGCGATGTGCCCTTTCTGGTGGCGCTCTCGCTGACCTCCCCAACCGCTTCCCTCTCCCCCTTGGCCTCTTCATCTACTCTCCGCCTCGGTGTGGTCACGTCCTCACGTGAGGCTCCGTCGGCAGCGGGAGCGGCCGTGGCTTCGGCAACGTCGGGAGATTGGTCTTTGTCCGCCCTGGCTGGGCCCGCTGTGGCCGGCGGGGTGTCGATTGAGCCTTTCTTGCCGCCGCTCTCTTTCTTGTGCGTGTCAGCAGGCTTCAAGAGCGCCTCGTCGGTCTCATCACTTTTCAACAAAGCGATCTGACCATCACCTGAACCACCACAGCACGAAGAGAGATGTCTCTTCTGTGTCTCCTTTTGTCCGTCGTTGTCTCACCCCTGCTTTGTGCAGCAGCATCTGCAGACACGTCAGCCTCCTTCCCCTCCTGAGGCACTAGTGTGTCTTCCTCTATCGTCGGCAGGGCCGGTTGAAGAGCCGGACTCTTGGCACTGCGGCGCGGCGAGCCGTGTTCCTCACCCACCGACGCCTCAGAGCTGCGATCGAGAGGCTCCTTGGGCGTCTTGCTGTCGATGACGGTCGTGTCGCTACCGTCACCGTCATTCTCACCCACGCCCGCCCCATCCTCCCCTGTCTCCCCCTTGCCGTCAGCATCCCCATGGTCGAAGACCCACACCGCCTTGCACTGCAGACGCCGGCCGGGTGGCGCAGAGCTCGACCGGGACTCTGACGACGCATACGTTGCGGGGACAGCCAGCTTCTCAGATGATGTTGTGACCGACGGGCTCAGGATGGGGCGTTCGTCATGGCCTGGAGGCAAGAGAGTGCCCTGGGGGATGGCCAGGGCGCACGAGGGAGCCGATGCCTTCGAATACGATGAGCGGGGGAAGCCCATTGACTCGAGAGGCGGGGGGATGGGCCCTCCAGGCACAGCAGCACCCAGCAGGTTGGCCGCCTCCCTCGACAGAACGACGTCAGTCTCCGATGTGCCTCTACGGCGGTAGTTGTGTGCGCGCGCCCCTGGGGCGGGGTAAGTGGTTGAATACGACACTCTCGAAGCAGCCGACAACGACACAGGGGGATAAATGGTGGAGGTCGGGGCGTAGGAGCGCACCAGGATGCGAGTGATGCGTGTACTGGACGAGGGATGGGGCGGGCCTGAGGAGATGGAGGCCGTACGAGAGGGAGCTGACGCTGCTGATGTCGACTGCAGGGAGAGGGTGGGCAGCATCATCAGGACCCTCGCGGCACAGTGAATGCGTGTTGCAAAAGAGGGAACAGACCTCAGCCGAGAAGGCCTCACCGTCGCTGAACCCTGACAGCGCCGCCACTGACGCGCCTATCTCGTCTTCATGACGCTCTCCCAACCTTCAGCAGGCAGCAGCAATGCCAGGTGGCAGCAATGGGCAGCGGGCGCCCTCACTGGCTGGCGTGAATCGAAAGAAACGACGCTAGACGATCATGCGCGGGCCCCACTGCACAGAACGCCGCCAAGCAGGGTTTGCGCCTCGGCGATCGTACTCTCCGTTCGTCCATCAATTACACCCCCAGGATTTCCGCGACAAGAGGGCAGCGGCTGCTGTCTTTGACAGTGCGAGGGAAGCCGAATGCATCAATGGGGCTCGAAATTCTCGGGTGAGGACGTCCTCCTTTTCTTCCGAACGCATCGAGGAGGAGCGTATCGTCCCTCTGTGTTCTGTTTTTTGCAACAGCAATCGTTTCTACAGGAAGGCAGACGACGGCCATTTCGTCGAGGTCCGGATGCAGATGGACGAACACATGGATGCTTCGTGCGGGCACATTGTTGCTTGTTTCTTGGATGTGCAGGTGTCGCTGGAAGATCTGAAGGCGTGTGAGTTCCTTTGCCTCCTCTTCACTGCAGCGTGGTCACCCCCATGCAGGATATTCACGCCCAAATTCGGGCAGGCAGTCGATGTGCTGCGCAACGAAAGTAGCACAGGAAGGCGTATCGATGGATGGAAGAGCCGGGACTCCTCTTGTCACGCATCTTTGTGTGCAGGTCACATATTCAAGGTGTGTTTCATTTCCAGGTTAGCGAGCGAGGGCACCCGAGGCACTTCTCTGTCTGTCTGGCGGCTCTACATCCCAGCGACCGCAACGAGGACGAATGGGCTGCATACTTCAGGACCATGCCCGCCGAGGGATGGGTGAGGACCCTCAGCAGACACAATGATCGCATCTGCTTTGTGTGCTTGGTCTGTGTGTCCTTACCATCAGTTCGCCATCCCCTATTCCGAGAGAAGCGTCTCCCTCTCCCTGAAACAGCACTTCGGCGTCTCAAGTGCGCTGATGCTACACATGCCTTTGCATCGGCATACCCTTCGTGTCTTCGCTTCTCAGAGATTCCTAGGCTCGTAGTTTTGGATCCTGCAACAGGCCAGCCTGTGGTGTCTCAAGCCAAATCGATTGACTACTTCTCACTTGACGTCTCCAGAAAACGAGTAGGCGACAGCCATTCAGCCTACGAGCCAGCTGGCTGCATGTGTGGTATCTTTGTATGTAGGTCCTGCGCACTTACGGAAGCCTTCTGGCATTGAAGAGGGCCAAGGCGGCCGAGGCCGCACTGGAAGATACCATGAAGGGGCAGCACGGCAGTGGATATGAATAATGGACCGATGGGGTATGCGTCTATGTTGTTCTCAATTGGAGGTATCTCTCTTGAAGTGTCCTTCTTCTACGTAGCGGCTGGTGACTGATGGTCAACCGAACGTTGTAGAGCACTTCAATAGCCTGATCCCCTCGCCTCTTGCTCGTCTCTTTCGTCCTCTCATGTATCCTGATCCGTTGCTGTCTCTTGTCATCCACCCTGAGGATCCAGACAGGAATCACACAGCACAGACTGCTAGACAGAATAAGAATGCAGCCTGTGCTGTGAGGTGGCTGGCTGCATGCGGATGCTGTGTGTGCGCTGTATGTTTAAACACACAGCATGTCTCAGTATTGTTTGCAGTGTGCGACGAGCCTTGTTCGTTTGCTTTCAGCTATGCATGGGTGTGTTCCCTTTTGCTTGTTTGATACGAACGCCGCTCTCTTGTTCTGAGGGTGAAACGAAGATAATAAATCTTTTGCTACGTCCTGGAAGGCGGATCTCACTGCCAAGTGAATTTGTCCTTCTTTGTGTGTGCCGCCCGCGTCTTTTCCTTCCTCCCTCCCCTCCTCTCTCTCTCTCTCTCTCTGTGTGTGTGCTTTTGCGTGTGTGTCATGTACAAGAGAGTCGTGTGAGGTTGGCTTCGACATGTGTCGCCCACTGCCAGGCGACGGCCCCACTCGAGAATTGGGGCCGTTATCTTTCCCTTGGTCGCGGAGAACCCTCGCACCCTTCTTGGAGTCGCTGCGCTGCCCTTCACTCATGTCGTCGTCCACCTCGCGGCTGTCTGACCCACCCCCACACCCCGCAGTGGACGAAAAGCGAGAAGAGGACCAGGTTGCCGCTCCGGCTATCGCTGACCCGGTGAGGATTAGACAACACACATCAGCCACTCGCAAGGTGCCTTGATGCAGGCCACGGACAACCAGATGACACCGTCAGAAAGTGTCCAGCACCGTGATGAGGTGCCTCATCGATGCACCAACTTAAAGATTCCCAGGTTGGGGACAGATGAGGTGTCAGCTGAGTCAGACATCCTGCAAGTAAGAATGATGAGTCTTGCGAGACCGACGTCTGATGTCTATTATCTTAATGTGACGTAGCGCTATAAGACTTCGGATGACCTGTATGTAATTGGCATCGAGCTTAAACGGAAGATATCAAAGGCCTTGCCACGGTATGAGGAGTTGCCGGCTGAAGTGGCTGACCTGGTCCGGGAGATCGAGATGTGTACAGAGATGATTTGCGAAAGCGTCGAAAAACGTATCGACAATGGAGAAATGGAGGAGACATGGACGGAGAGCTGGACGGAGAGCCTTGTGGGTCCATTCAAGAAGATCATGCAGTCATTCCAGAGCATATTAGAGGAGGCAGGGTCACGGAGATCGGCCAATGTGCATGACACCGTCAGTGCACTCATTATCGATCTTCTAACAAGCTATCAGTTCTGCGAGCACCTCACTCCCGAGGAACAAGAGGAGGTACTCGGATCGGAGATTACAACACGTCGGGACACTACACTTGCACTTCCTACGACTGCAGTCCACGAGGCAGCACGTACGTCGCCTAGCATTACCTATTCTCGGCACATACTCATTGTTGTTTCCCGTCTGGATGGCAGGTATGGGATGGTTGGGACCGTTTGAGAAGATGATCGCAAATCGGCCTCAGCTTCTGACCCGGACGCTAACTGTCGCGGCTGACGACAATATATTGTTTAACGAGGTAAGCTCTCTTTACATGCCATTATACCAGAAAAACTCGCGTTCTTCTTCTCTTCAGTCTGGCTACACGCCTCTGCACGTCGCAACGAGTGTGTAAAGGAAAAAGCAACCTCCCTCTGATCACGAGGCTTCCTATCTGTTCAGAGTATGTCAGACCAAAAATCGTTCGACTGATATTGCAGCAATATCCTGATGCCCTCAATCAGAAAGACAAGGCAGGGCTTCATTGAACCTGTCAGTCTCCCCCCCTCTCTCTCTCTCTCTCTCTCTTGCCGCTTTTGACGCAGATAGGGCACACCGCAATTGACCTCGTTGTAAATATGACGACAGGGGTTGATGTCACACTTGCAATGATAGAAGCCGGCGATGTCGTCATCTTCAGCATGCTCCACGAGAGGGGCAAGCTGAGCTATCTATGGAGGCAAGAGAACCTGCTCAAGATGCTCCCTTTCATCAAAGACGCCATCATCTATTCGCTGAAGCAGTCCAACGACAGCGAGATCATTCTCGTGGCACTTCGCTACCTTTCTTCGTTTCGCGACTCGACTGGCTCCCGAAGAAAAGACTCACGCACACAGTAAGAAAGACACATACGCTTCTAATGCCAGAGTCAACCGTTAATGTCTCTATGCCTGGCTGCAGAGAAATAGAAGAGACGGGTGAATGGCTAGAGGTATGCAGATCCCTGAATCAGCAGCGCCTTTTGAGACTTGTCGGATTGACCTCTGCAGGGCTTTTGTACCAAGGCGATGGCAGAGATTGACGAGAAGTCGCTTCTTGTTACACTAAAGAACCGTGACAGAGTTCAAGAGTATTTTCGCTTAGTGGATTCCTGCAATGGATTGCAGGCAGTGAGCGAAGGTAACAGACATCGCCATGTTTAGTCAATCCGATCATTCTTCTCTGCAGCCAACAGCATTGAGCTCGTGGATGTATGTTGGAGTATGCCGTATTACGAAAATATCAGTCGGGCAGCAAGTGATGAATTTCACTTGTCGCATCTACGCTTCTTTACTCCAACGGTTGACACGGACCGGCTTGTGGTTTCTCTGACGCCTCAAATTGCCTTCATCAGCCGATTCGTCTCAATGGCTTTCCTGTAAGCCAACGAGAGAGGGGCGAAGAATAGAGGACGTCAGATGTTGTTCCTTCAGTATTGTATTTGTTCTCGTCTACGTCAGCATCATAAATCGAGGTGGAGAGGAGTGATGGCTGTGGGCCGTCTTCGTTATGGGAGCCGGCTTCATCGCACAAGAGCTCCTGCAAGTGTGATGGGAATGGAGCCCTCAACGTTTCTTCTTTTACACGTCTCTGTCATTCAGATGATCCGTTTGAGGGCTCGCTACTGGCAGGAGTACTGGTGAGACATGATCCGTTCGTGACGGTCCGTCAGATGTCGCCTTCCTTCATACTCAGGAACTACCTAGATCTGGCGAGCTCACTTGCAGTTGTGGCACTCATCGTGTCGTACTTTTGCGAAGCACCCCTCGATGTCATCACTGCCGCGCTCTCACTTGTGGGTCTCTTGTTCGCCACGCGAATCCTCCAGATTGCCACCCCCAAGTCAAACACAGGGCCACTCATTCTGTGAGCGAAGAGGCATCCAATTGAATGGCTTTCATGTGATGTCATTCGTTACTCTCTTTATTAATCAGGGCTGTCGTGCGGATGTTTGCCGACATCTCCATGTTTTTGCTGCTCTACGTCTACATTCTACTAGCCTTTGCGGCCGCATTGAATATACTCGCACAGGAGGGTAATGATGACTTCGGCACGTACGGACTAGCCGTCCTGACGCTGTTCTATGGAGGCCTGGGTGAATTCCAAGTGAGTACGATCAGGATTGCGGAGGAAGGTCATGTCTCCGCACATGGTGGCTGTTCAGGATCCATTGGATCATGCCATTGAGGATGGGCGCATTCTGGCTGCCATCCTTGTCGTCCTCTACGTCATCCTATCGTCCATTATTCTCGTGAGATGCGACAGGCAGCTGAAAATACAGCTGTGACATGCATCATCTCATTTCTCGCAGATCAATCTGCTCATTGCCATCATGGTAAATACCTTTTTGAAGGTGCGATTCACAAAGGGACAATTTGAACATCTGCTTTTAGGCATCTACTTGGGGCGCAATTGAACATAGCCAGCATGCACACTACCAGTCAGTCAGAAGAGCGAGAGGAAGTGAACGCGGACTCTGTATGAGCTGTGCGCATTATGTGCAGTATGCTGCGGCTGCGTCTTCTCAACGAATACCTGTGCATGCAGAGCTACGAACGACTGCCGCCGCCATTCTCGATCATGAGTGAGTGCAGTGATGTCTAAGAGATCATACTGTGCCTTTGCGGAGACGCATCTTGATTGGCAGGTCTCTTCATACTGGCTCCTCTGCGGTGCCTCTTCCGAAAATGTGCAGAACCGGATATGAGTGTTCATTCACCTGACACTGTATTGGAACGCATCGTGTGGGCCATGATAAGGGTCGAGACCGGCATATATATCTTTGCCTTCACCCCTCTATTTCTCGTCCTCGCCCTGCTCAAGTCGCTGATAGGGGGAGAGAGGACGCTGCTCAAAAGCTTCATCTGTTCGCCATGGAATACATTCCTTTTTACTTGGTGGGAGGTTTTCCATCTCTTGATACTCGTCAAAAATGATTGGAACGTAGGCATTAAGATAGAAGCGATATTACAAAGTATCCCCTCTTTGTTTTCAGGCTGATGTCTATGGACGAAAGGAACGGATATATGAACGAAAGGACACACCTCCATCAGAAGTCAAACCTCTGCAAGCGTCGGACGCAATGGTCGCTAAGATCAATAAATGGAGTCGGGAGCTGGATGGAAGAAAAGCAACTACACAAGATATAATCACGAGTAAGAGGGCACTCAAAAGCTAGCCTTAACGTCAAATGTGCTTTTTCTGTGGCTGCATTCAGTCTTGCGAAATATACAAGAAGAGCGGCTAGAAATTAAGAAGAAACTGCTGGAAGCGGTGCCACTGCTGCAATTGAAGCCCTAAAAGGTGTGCAGCCAGTCAGTCCCAAAAAAACATATGTATAGGTCTTGATTTGATCCACAGGACAGTCAAAACGCGCAAGAAATAGAAGACATTCGCTTTGTCCATACGTCGATTTTTTCCATTTTTGGTTCTTCAGCCGTGAAGTGGGCAGCCCTTGGTCAGTCTCTTGACGTGCAGATTTCTCGACGTGCAGACACAGTCTGTATCAGTCCGTCTCTCGATCATGCAATTCATATCGACGCACTACAAATGTCAGTTGACTCTCTTATGTCTTAACACATACGCACTGACACAGACCCCTTATATGACACAAATATGCGCATTGGCACGCCTTATCAGCCAGCAGCAGCCAACTCGTTTGCGTGTGTGTGCGTGTGCGTCTGCGTTGATGTGTATATGTATGCATGTTGGTGTTTCCTCAGTCCAGTGTGCCAACATATACGTCAGCCGCCCTGCACACCGAACTCGAACGGGAAACCGCCAATCCCTCTTGAAGCAGCTGTCACACAAACATACTTACATACCATGTGGCTCAGTGAGTGCGGCCACACGTGCACGATCCATGCTCACTTGTCAGAGGCTTCTTTATCTTTCTCGTGAGCCTGCCGATGTATAGATTGGAGTTCGGTTCGGCGAGGGTGAAGTCAAACGGACGATTGAAGTTGAAACGCTGCGTAAGCGAGTGGCAATGATGGTGTGGATACAGACATACGTGCGCGCTTCTGTGTTATGTCAATCTATATGTGTACGTATGTTCGTATATACCTGCGTGCTGGTGTCAGCTGCGGTCTCTGCGAGAAGCCTCTTCCCTTCAGATTCGTGTGCAGAGTCTGAAAAAAACACACACACACATGCATGTATATATACAGAGGAACACACATAGCGGTGTGTGCCCACTTACCTGGAGCAACGACGGGTATGTGTGTCCGAATGGCTTTTGAGTCAACGCAGCGATGAAGGCAGTCGTCATGGCACCACCTACGGCCATCAACATGATACATGCATGTCGTGTGTGATGATGTATGTTGTGTATGTACGTGTGCAATGTCTACCAGCTGAATGAGGCTCCGATGCGCTGCCGTGTACATCTGCACACACACACACACACATACACACATGGATGCTTACACGTGTCTCTGCATTATCCATACCCACCTGCGCTCGTCTGCGCGTCCTCACAGCCACTGAACAGCTGCACGTCGCCCATCCTGCGCACAGACATACACAAACACGATGCGTGGATGTACTTCCCTGCCTGCCGGCCAATACGTACGTGTGGCTGGGGTTTTGGTCCTCCATCCACTTCTCCTGCTTCGACTCCCATGTGTACGGCAAATCCAGACCTGTGCCGGAATGGCAGCAGTCCATGACGGCGGTCATTCGCACGCCACTGGGCAACGGACGAATCTGTCGGCAGGAGACATGCGTATACGTACGTCTGTATTTCCTTCTGATCTGTCTCGATGTATGTACCATGAGGTCGTGTAGGTCGTCATCGACAATCTGCCCCTCCTTTTGGTAGTCCATCGGGATGATCGTCTCGTCTACATCCGCACATTCAGCCGCATGTGTCGGTGCATTCGTGTGTCTCTGCATCCACTCACCCATGCCGTCCTCCTCTCGGCCAGAGGGGTCCACCTGCTGTGAGCCGTGACCTGTACACACGTGGAGCAGGCAGATGGAGATATGCACAGAGAGAGTGTGTGCGCGCCTGACCTGAGAAATGGAAAAAGAGTGCGTCTCCGGGCTGTGCATTGAGAGCCAGCCATTTGCAGGCCTTCAGGATGTTGCTGCATACGCATTCACACGTGCGCACCCCGGAAAGTACACCTGAGCACGTCTACTACTCACCTTTTGGTCGGCAGGCATCTCTCATCGTTGCTGTCATCGGTCAACACCACCTGCAGTGGATGTACAGAAGCCCCTGTGGATACGTACGTGTGTGTGTGTGCATCTGTGCTCGCGCACCATTGTCTCGGGTGTGTCAGGGAATCCGTATATGCCCGTCAGCACGCGGCGCATGTTTTTGACGTCATTTATGCAGCTGCAAACACAGGACATCCTTCTATCTCTGCATATCTGTACATGGGCGTGTGTATGTGTACCCTTTGAGCTCCGCTCGCGTGCCCTTGTAGTTGCAGCCCACCATCGGAGCCTTCTTACGACCTGCACACATCCATGTGTTTCCGTGTGTGTTCATGTCTCCTCCTGCATATGCACACACACGCACCAGTGGGCTGCGCAGGTGCCCCTCCCACAGACGAGGCGTGCACAACACCAGCCTGCTGGGAGGAAATGCCCTGTGGCGACAAAGCCTGCATACATGCACATACACACATACATGGATGCACACGGACAGATACGCACCCAAGGATCGAATGTCTTCACACACGCACCTGTTGCTGCACCTCATATCAAGACAGGTATGGGTGCGTCACGGTGGTCTCGGACGGTTCGTGTTGCTGCGCATACGCCGACGTCGAGTCGCCCCATGTGTATGGCTGCTGTGGCTTGTTGTGCGAAAATGCAGAGGCTGAATTCTCCCAGGAGTAGGGCTTTGACGGCTTGTTGAGAGGTGAGTTCTCCGCGGCGATCGTGATCGCTATCTACAGATGGCATACAGTTTCGCATTGGTGAAAGCACACACACGGGAGACGCATGATCGCTCACCTGGATCAGTTCTTCAAGGGCCCTTTCCTTGTCATTATTCTGAACACGCACAGAGTGTCCGGTTGTGTGTGTGTGAGCATGCAGCACACGTGCGCAGGTGTGGCCCACCCATTTGATCAGCGCAGTGGCTATCTCTTCATACGTGCAGTTGGGCAGTATGTTTCGGATGTCCTGTGTGCAATGATTCATCATCGACATTCACGCCATACCTCTGAGTGAGTGAGTGTCTGCGTGCCTGGATGTATTGCACGTTCGGCTCGACTTTCTTTTTCGGGGGCTGACCATGGCCTACATCCGTATAGACACATACATACACCGACACATTCGTTTTTGCTTTAAAAAGGTACCCACCCATCAGTTCGGCGGTGGCTGCCTGCTTGTCGCCATTGTGCCGCACGAGGGCTTTCTCCACCTGTTCGTTGTTTGGGCGTGCCCATCCATATGTATGTGCGAGGAGACATACCTGCTGTCTGCTCAAATGCGGCATGATGGTGAGTATCGCTTGCACGGCGGCATCAGAGACAGAGCCAGCAGCCGGGCTGTCTGTACACATACACTCATACACGAGCCATGTGGGCATGTGTATGTGTGTGTCTCTGGTTAGTTACCAGTATGTTTGTATGACGGAGGTGGCCTGGGCTGGGTTTGGGTGTGTTGGCTGTAGATGGGAATATGCAGGTTTGGCTGCTGGCCCGGCTGCGGCTGATATGAGGGATACGAGGGGTATCCTCCCACCGGTTGATGTTGCTGCTGTTGGTACTGGTGCTGGTGCTGCTGCTGCTGTTGGCCCGTCTGCGGCGGGTATGAGGGATACGAGGGGTACCCTCCCACTGGTTGTTGGCCCCCTTGATACGGCCTGCGGCGCTCCGAGACACGTACACAGACAATACCTATCCATGTGGCTCCGCGAACCTGTTTGCTTGCTGCCCGCTGCCTGGCTGGAGCTGGAACTTGATGCCGATTTGACCTACGAGCAGTGACACACATATGGGCTGGAGGGAAGCAGTGCGCGTTTCATTGTACCTTTTCCATTCTGCAGATTGTACCAGCCTGCACATGATCGAGATGCAGACGCTACATCGGATGAATAGGTCCATCCGTGCGTTCATGTGCGCACCCTCCATTGGCGCGGCATTCATTTGCGTGTTCGGCGGCAGCCGCAACGAGACGCTGCCTGAATAGACACAGGCGCACATTCGTCTGTCTGCGGCGACAAAAAAGGAGTGTAAGCATGCATGCATGCATACCCATAGAATCATCTCTGGTGAATCGGTCCCAGTCAAACACCTGCATGGTGTGAACACACGCATGTCTGCCCAGGTATCCCCCATGTTGCTCAATTGATGTTGCTTGCCTCGAACGTCAAAGGCGGGTTCTGAATAGACGGCTGCAGCAAGACACACGCACGCACATGGATGGGCTTTTCCATGTGTGTTTGTGTGCGGGCTACGGACTTCCCAATCCAGCAGAAATGACTGGTTCCATGTGGGGTTGAGGGACTTGTTCACCCTCTCTGTCCTGTACTCTTTCCCCTGCCACTTGAGCTTCACGTAGGGGTCACTCGTGCCGCCTGTTTCCACGCAGAATGTCATGCACTCTGTGCAGCGAGCACGTGCTTGTGTCTGCTCACCGATGTCCTTGGCCGCCAGATCGCGTCCACCGATGATTGTGACCTACACACAAACACATCTCTTCTCCATCAGTGAGAAACCCCCGGCTGAATGCACGCACCTGAAGCTTCTGGGACATTTCTCAAGCCTCGCAAGTGATAAGAAGCCGCTGTCAGTGTGTCGTTCTCTCTGGCCCCAAATTCGGGACCCCGTACACAGCTGTAAATACTGACGAATCGCGATGAAGGTCTCCTTCTGGCCTTGTGTGGTATGGCTGGCATGCTTCGGAGCCCATGGATCCGAGATCTCGCCATCAAGCGTCGACACGAAGGCTCGCTACTATCAGTTCGAAGACCCGCCTTCCTGCTCGCCGGAAAAGCCGTGCTTCGTCCCAAGCGCCAACCAATTCGGAGAGGTGGGCAGAGAGCACGCAACACGCACACCCAGAGCAGGCAGGCAGCAGAGGGAAGGCGGGGAGACGTCTTTGGTCGGTTGGTTGGCTGGCAGGCGAACGACATAATGGTGACTGACGGCAGTGGGAATTTCTATAAGGTGTGGGAGTTCGGCGAAGGCACAGACTCTCACCAAATCGCCATCGGTAGGCACTGATCAGAGGAAGAAAGTGCAGCCCACCACGACGTCTGTCTGTCTGTCTGTCTGTTTGTCTGCCTTACAACACAGGCGACCTCAACAATGACGGTTAGTGAGTGATGAGATGAAGGGGAGGGGGGGGGGG